ATGGATCCAACCTGCTCGTAGCGTGAATCTGCCTGTGAATGGCGTAGTTCTGAAGGCGAAAGCGGAGGAAATTGCCCTACGAATGAACATCGAATTTGCCTGCAGCGACGGATGGCTCGATCGCTTCAGAAAAAGACACGGACTTGTGTTCCGATCTATTGCCGGTGAGGCCGCCGCCGTTGACGAAGTGACCTGCAACGATTGGAGGCTGACCAAGCTGAAGGAGATCCTTCAGGATTATGACCCCGGCGACGTCTACAACGTCGACGAGACAGCCCTCTTTTACCAGCTGCTTCCACAGAAGACGCTCGCTTTTGCTGGCGACGACTGCACAGGGGGAAAGCACAGCAAGGTGAGGGTTACCGTACTCATTGGCGCAAACATGTCAGGAAGCGACAAGCTGAAACTGTTGGTCATCGGCAAATCAAGATTGCCGCGCTGCTTCAAGCACGCTAAAACGCTGCCGGTGACCTACACGGCCTACTCAAAATCCTGGATGACTCAGTCAATTTTTGAGGAGTGGCTGTAAGACATGGATTGCCGTTTCCAGAAAGAAAAGAGATGTGTCATATTCCTGTTGGACAACTGCCCTGGGCACGGGCATGTTGCCGACCTTCAGGCCATTCGCTTGGAGTTTTTGCCCGCTAACACCTCAGCCAAGCTCCAGCCAATGGACCAGGGGGTGATCAGCAGCCTGAAAAGGCACTATCGCCGATCTCTTCTGCAGAGAATGTTACTGTGCATGGAGAGCGACGAACAGTACACAGTGGACCTGCTGACAGCACTTCACCTCCTCACGAATGCCTGGAGCCAGGCGACTGACATGACTATAATAAATTCATTCCGTCATGCTGGTTTTGCGGTGCCCGAGTGCTCGACGCAGGACAGTTGGGAAGACGACGAGGAAGAGGTGAGCCTCGTTGCCTCGCTAGGCAATAAAGGACTCGTCGTGGACATAGGAAGTTATGTCACTGTCGATGAAGATGTGCCAACCTGCAAGGAGGACACATTGGACACATTGATTGATGAAGTTCTAGAGGTTCCTTCGGAGGTGATGTCAGAGGATGACGAAGATGCCAGCATGAGGCCTGTGCCTGTGGCAAATGATGCTGCAGATCTCTACATTAGTTCGTTAAGGAACTATTTTGAGCAGCATGAAGGAACTGAAGTGTTTTTGAGATCGCTAGGAGATATGGCGTCATTTGTGGCTGCTCGCCGATGTGCACAACAGCGACAGACGTCCATTATGGACTGGATCAAGCCGAGCAAGAGCACTTGAACGCAGTTGCCTATCAGGCTACTCCCTCAAATAAATTATTTTTGTGTATTTTTCCTTCACTGTAAGCGTACTTGATACTTTGTTTTGAACTAAGATATTTGCATGCACCTAGCATACCTGCCAAGTTTTACGATTTTATCGTAAAGTGCCCGATTTTCAGCACATTTTTACGAGTATCGTAATGACAACTATATTTTTACGATTTTTCATGTTTCGGGTCGAAAAGTTCGCAAACTGAACGCGCTGCTTCAGACAGTCAACTGCACCAGCTGAATCTGGCCTTTTTTTTTTGCGGGGCTATGCAGGCAACACTGTATTGGCTTATATCCAGAGTCAAAGCCAAAGCCAAAAGGCATTGACTTCGTGGATAGCGGAAATGTGCTCGACTTTCTTTGTTACCATGCGCTGCGGGAGGTGCCTTGCACATGTTTTTGCGGAGCGGTAGCGTATGGTTCAGCCCTAGCAGCTCACGAGATGTCTGAGAAGAAATACTTTCAAGTTTTTATTCCCAGCTATTCGACTGACTTTCCATTTATTAAGAGGTCGCGTAAAGGTGAGCGGTACGCATTTTGTAGTTTGTGCTGCTGTGATGTGAACATTTCGCACGCTGGTCGCCGGGATATTCTGCTACATGTGAATACGAAGAAACACAAAGACTCGGCGAAACTTGTGGACTCTAACGGGAAACTTGGAGGGTACTTCAGCAAAGCGGATCTCGATACTACAACTCGAGCGGAGTGCCTTTTTACTGCGTTCCTGATTGAACACAACGTGCCGTTCACGGCTGCTGATCACGCTGGAGACCTCTTTCGAAAAATGTTTCCGGACTCGAAGGAAGCTAAGAACTACGCCTGCGCCCGTACAAAGACTACGGCGATTGTGAAGGAAATGGCCAATAAAGCTATCGACGAAGTGATAAGTCACTTGCAGCACGCTCTGTTCTCAGTCGCCACAGACGGGAGCAATGACGCCGGCAACGATGCAAAACTGTATCCAATCGTGGTGACGTTCTGTGATAGTACTGTTCGCACTGCCTTGCTCGCGATGCCTGCCCTCGAAGGTAACTCCACGGGACGAAACATCGGTGCGCTTGTTGTGGACACGCTAACGAGCAAAAAGATACCGCTCCAGAACTGCATCGGCATGGCGTGTGATAACGCGCCAGTCATGATTGGATTAAAAAACGGAGTGGCTGCTGTGCTGAAAGAAAGCCATGAGAACATTGCCATCATGGGCTGCTGTTGCCATTTGATCAATCTGGCGGCACAGAAAGGCTCAGCATGCCTTCCACTGAATGTGGATGAGGTGCTAGTTGACATTTTCTACTACCTCGAGAAAAGCTCAAAAAGGAAGGACAAGCTGAAAGCTTTTCAGTCTCTCCACGATGTAGAGGCCAAGAAAATTTTAAAGCATGTCAGCACCAGGTGGCTCTCTCTTGGAAGGAGCCTGAAACGGCTTGTGGACCAGTGGCAGCCACTGCTTAGTTTCTTCCATAGTGAAGTAAGGCCCTCCGGGCAGGTTTCCAAGTTTCCCAGCAAGCCATGTAACCTTCGCACTGACCTTCAGAAGCATGCAAAGGAAGCGGAGAGCAGTCATCAGAGCAAAAGACCAAGACTGGACACAAATGTCCCCGTGTCGGATACAGCTCCCAAGCGAACCCAAAACCGTCCAGGAAAGGTCTTAAACAGAGAAGAAAGGCTATTCATGTTTCTTTCATCAGATGCAAATAGAGCATACTGTGACTTCTTGCTGTCTGTAATCCCAGAGTTTGAAAAGGTGAACGTGTTCCTGCAGTCTGGAGCCCCTCAAGTGCACTTGCTGCGTGAAGTGCTTAGTAACTTGCTAAGAGAGATCATGTTGCGTTTTGTAAAACCTTCAGTGATCAAAAAGCTGATGTGTTGGCTGACGTTGACTACAAATCTTCCGTCAGCCAAAGAGATAATGAAGATATTGTAATTGGTAGTCGGACCACACAGACCTTGGAAGGCCTAAAAAAAGAAGCAAGGGAAGAGTTTTTTACACATATAAGAAGGTTCTTCGTTGCAGCAACGGAGTACATGATCCTGAAATTTCCACTGAAGTGTGAGCTGTTGAAGAGTGCAGAAGTAGCAAGGCTTGCGTCCATTGAACACGCCAGGTTTTCTGATGTCAAGTACTTAATCAACCGCTTCCCAGTACTGCTACCACTTCAAGAGGGGCGAGATGTGAATTCTGCTCTGGACGACATTCAGGCAGAGTTCACGCGTCTTCAGTTGGAAGAATTACCCGCTGAAGTACCTAAGGAGCAGCAGATTGATGAGCAATGGCGGGCGGTGTCCGGTTTACGAGAAGTGAATGGCAGCTTTAAGTATGCCAGACTTTCAAAATTTATGTTGGGGGTCCTAACACTCCCGCATAGTAATGCGGAATGTGAAAGAGTCTTCAGCAAAGTGAAAAAGGCGCACACCCAGTTCCGTGCCTCCATGTCGAAAAAGACTGTGGAGCAGTTGCTTGTCGCAAGATGTGCCCAGTCACACTCGGGAAAGTGCCACGAACAGGTCTTTGACAAGGACTTTCTGAGGAAGGCCAAGGCTGCTACGGCCTCTATGCTAGCCCACCCCTCCACTTCCGAGACTTGAGAACTTTTTGTGCCTCTTTTGTGAAATGTTTCTTTTGTATTCCATTCATCTAAGCCAGTTCTTAGAAAATAAAGCGCTATTTTAGTATTTTTGTACTTGGTTTTAGTATTTTTTGTCATCTCCTGTAGTACTTTAAGAACTGTGGGGTTGGCACGTCTGACCTAGGTATGTAGCCAATTCTTTTTTCGAGGGTGCTTCTGATAAGACGAATATCTGATAAGACGAACAATTCTTCATGGTCCCTTCGAGTTCGTCTTAAAGGGAGTTCACTGTATATAGATACGTATTAGTACTTATACAGTGAGTGACACTGACATCGACGCTAGCAGCCAAATCCAGCAGCCGAGAATGTCCATATAATTGCTATCGCAATAAAAGCACCAGGAATATGTTCGAGACAAGCTTGCCAATTTTTCCGCGCGGTCACATCGATTGAGTTGTCGTTCTGATAATCGGCTGCAAAAAACATCATCAAGCTTGTCATTGAAGATAAAAGATGGATTCCTCGATCCAAACGGCAATGGAGAAAGAGAGATGTGCACAAGAGTAGTACCTCTTCTTTTTCCCCCAAATTAAGCTTCCCCTATGTGGGTCCCTCTTTCCTAGTTTGTCATTTTCTTGGCACTTTTCACCGTAGAGCAATAGTTGTTCTGCATCCTCAAATTATTTGTGCCTGCATTTCTACTTGTTTTTAATAGCACACTTCATCATAATGTGTCCATTCAAGTCAAGGTTGTGGCCTTTTCAAGCACACCATCTGCACAGAGATGCCATTCTGACTGAAAAATGGTCTTACTATACTTTTTTATTGTCTTTATTGGTAGTCCTAGAGGGAAAGACTTGCCTGATTGGAAAGTGCCTAGCCGATAAGTCACTTTACAAGGCATTAGAGGACAAAACAGAAATTTTTAATACACGTTCTGAACATGCTCACAGATGAAGCTGTCACACTTAGATTCTGTTTGTTGAAGAAGAGTAGAGTGGATGGAAACAATCCCCATGTTAACCTCAATCTCTTTATCCTCACATTAGTGTACAGGCATGTACATATAGTCAAAATAAACTGCACTTTCTCATATTATGTTTGTCTTTTTCTTTTTTAGCTGGATCTCGCCAAATCGTGCTCAGTTGTCTGACTCTGACTGCCTCACCTGGTCGCACCGTGCTTGTTGCTACAAGAACTGAAAAACTTGAACCCAGTGCACCGCAGTTTTACTCCGTCGGGTGCTTTGTGGCAGCCTTCCCTTGCACACACGATTTGGGAAGCAGAGTTGGGAGGGAGTTCAGTCACCACTGAAGAGGTGACGGCCATGTGCGTTCTTTGACCGAGTTATCATGTGTGCAGCACACCCCGAGTTGTTCCGTGTGATTGTCCCTAGATTTTGGCAAAAGAGCACTGAATTGCCAAAGTGTTCTCCCACCTTGGTACCTACTTCACCTTCTTGTCAGCTGACATTCATCAACCTTAATTTCATAGTGTAACACATGTGCACCCATTGCCTACTTGGATCTGCTGCTCCTGTGGCTGTCAATTCCTCTGACTGTGTTTCACTTCTTTCCTATGAGCAACGATGCATTGCCAAAGCTGCTGCATTGTCATGTACATTGTACATGAATGAGCTTCTCTCAGTTGTGAGGTGTTTCAGAGCCAGCTCAAGCAATTTAACCAGCCTGACAAAGTGATGGCAGAGTCACTGCTCCTTTGGCAGCACACTTGGTAGATCATAGCATTGCCATGCTTTGTGTCTCCACCTTATTGTGGAGCACTGACACATTTCATTTGTTTGTGTGCTTTATTTTGACGCACCGCCTCGCTGTAAAACAGGAACACATCATAACGTTTTGTGCTGTGTGCCCAAATTTTTGTTTAGAACAAAATTTGGTTGTTATAAATTTCGTACTATGCGCGTTAAGTGCAGTTCCCTCAGACTCTCACATTTAAGTTTGGCGAATTCGGGCCCAGGTACGGTGCGGTCACGTTTAGTGTGCGTCATTGATATTTGCATCTTCTTAGTGATTATCTGGAACTGTGTACAACTCTACACGCATCATTTTTTATGTGTGTCTCATTTTTCCCGAAAAGACCACTTTATTTCCGCATCAAACTGCGCTTTCCTGGACTGTGTGTGGCGAACATTGTGCAGCATTGAATTTCTGCTTCTCGTGCAGATTGTAGCAGTGGCTAATTTTAAGTGCTAGCTTTAATTGCGAAGTTGTCATGCCGTCGCAGCGCTAACCAGACCATCAATTCACGTCTGCGATATACCTTTTTGTTTCACTATGCTATTGCCTTTGCTGAAGTGTCACTCTGCTCTCAGAGAAGCACGAATCACAGCTTTCGTGCAGTGTGGGCTCACTTGTTGGCACCTGTGCACGGTGACTTAGCCATGTCGTGCCGTGTCATGTCAGCTAGCCATGTCATACATGTGATTTGTTACACACATGGTCGAGTTGTGGATGGCAATAGTTGTGTTTTCTTTTCTCTCAAATTGTTTGTAGCAATTCGGCCAGTTGTTCATGATGGGGTAATCACTAATGCTTGCTTGGCCTGATGTTCGAAGAAGCAGCAGCACAGGCATATGTTAGGGCAAGCTATGGCACACTGTCATGAAATCTTCGTAGCACAAATTTTTCTTTGAAGTGTGAATTTCGGGAGAAAATAATGCAAATGTGTTGTCAATATGAGCACCTCTGCTGCTCCCATGTGAAATCGTCGTCTGATGATGTTTTATGTCTCGTTTATTACCAGTGCAGATTTTTAAACTGTTAATAATAAAAATGAAAATTTTGTTATTGCCCCGAGTCTTTTGAAGGGTAATGCTGGGAAATCCAGTAACGCTACCTCCAACTCACTTCGTGCTGCTTGCAAAAGAAAAAAAACAAAGTGTTTCACCCTCTGAATCGCCAAAATGTCAGTGTTTGCTTTAGCACGATCTTCACAATGGCTGTCACCTCAGAGCAGTCTTGATCATTATTGCATCTTTACTTATTTACCCGCCCCCCCCTTTTTAAAACCTGTCATATCTAAGGGGCATTTTCTGACAATTTTCTCAATGGCTGCAGTGTAGAACTCTAACCATCTGCCACTGCAATTGAATGTATTACATGTTTGCATTTGCTGTCTTTTCAGAGAAGAGCAGAAAGTGCTTTTGTTCTTACTGCTTTGAAGATTTAGCGGAGTGCTTGCACCAGGAAGTTGTATAGCAGTAGAAGCGCGAATAAGGTAGGTCGTGTGGCCCCTTGCCCGGGTATTGCATTGTCCCCTTGAAGATGGCTGACTTCAGGGGATATTTATAGTACAGGGCTATGTAGGCTGCTAGTTTTTAAATTGGGTACATTCGTGTATGTTTTTATTGCGCTGCGCATGTGCCAGCTAGTGTGCCTCTTGCACGCCAAGTGAACGTGGGGGCAGTTGTCACTTTAGACACCAGTCTGCTTCACTCAAGCTGTGAGCGCAGTGAGTAGCCATTGTCTCCATCAGAAAGAGACTTCTGTTTCACTCACGCTTTGTGCTTGTAAGTGTTGGTATCTACTTCAACTATTTTTAGCTGTTGCGAGGTTACTTCACATCATTCCGTTGAGCAACTATTCGAATGCAATCATTCTTGCATAATGTACTTGCTGCATTCACACCTGCATTTATGTTTTGTGATTTGCGAAGACTAAAAAGTTAAGCAATTATCATCAGGTCTTGAATATTTTTTTATACAGCTTCCACTGAGAACATAGCATATATACATGCCACATTTTTTTTTGTACTGCCTTCTACGAAAATTCAGCGAAGCTTAAATGCTAAGCCGAAATGCAGGTGATATGCGAATGATGCTTTGGTTTTTAGCTTCACAGCCATGTGTTGATGTGTCAATTGATTGTGGCTTTATAGAGTGCGCTTTGTAAACCCATGATAACCAAACACAGAAACATAATTTTTCCTAATTTTGCTTTCTCCAAATTTTAATGAGGCATATTTTCACAATGTAGATGATGCACTCACTGTATTGTTTCTTCATTGTGGAGTTCCGGTAGCACAACCTGGTCATGATGCCAGGTTGTACACGTCGAAACATGGCAGTCCCCGTGCTGTGTGTGCTGATGCTGTTATTTCCAGATGGTGTTGTTCATACTGTTCTTGATTGTGTCCAATACATTGTGCTTTTGGTTATGCTGGAAGGTGTTTTGATTTTAAGAATATTGTATTTTAACAAATTGAGTTGTGAAACCTTCTACTTTTTACAGTGAATGTGGTATTCTTATAGGTGTTCATGAATAGTGTTTTGGATGGTTGGTTTGTCTTGTTAACATGAGAAACTTGAGTAGGGACTGATTTGAATGCATTCGCTTAAGGCAGAACTTCCAAAGGGCAGCGGTGCAGCTCACAGTTGAATTTTTAGTGTAAAAAAACTGTTGTCACTAGAACTGAGTGTCCTTGCGAAAAAATAACCAGGTCATGCTTACATTAAAAGCTAAACACAGCTCTTCATCTACAGGGGCCAATAGGAGGGAGAACAATTACTGATTGTGTGTTTTTATTTCGCTTATACTATTATATTTAATCAGTTCTGACATGCACACGTGTTTATTTGTGGTACAACAGTGCTTTTTTGTGATGAAGTGCAACCTTACCCATTCTGAGCAGGCCGTGGTATGTTTGGACAGCATACATTATATGAAAACTGGCAAAATAGGCAAACAGGGCTCAAGAATTGCCATGTCAGGTTCATTTCCTACGCACTGAAGCATTGATTCAAAGTGTACATACTTTTGTTTAAAGCATACATGTGGCATTTGTACATGTTGTTTGGTTTAAGGGTTCTACTGAATATTTTGTGGAGATGTATTCTAATGGCAACATGCAGCATTTAGCAAAGCACATGAGCTGCTTGCGTCTCATCGTCCTGATCTGCAGTGTACAGTCATCTCTATGTGTTGTGATTTGAAACTGGCACGCTGTCTACATGAAGCTTCACTGGTTGGCATGTGAAGTGTGACACTGTACATATTGTAATTCTCTTTAATGACTCACAAGTGCATCCTTCTCAAAGGGACCCAACATCAGTATCACAATTGAAATAGTTTTTATCACTCTTTATGTGCTGCTTTAAAATTAGGTATGTGTTAATGAAAGATAAGACAATATCAGTGAATGCTAGAAAAATTGGAATCCTGTTCTTTCGACAAATGTCAGAGCTAGCTGATAGTGTATTTTGACTTCTAGTATAATTGGAGGCATATAGACATGTGCTTCTAAGAACACTGGCTTGGTGCTCTGCAATTGATAATTTGCACTTGGGCTAAGTTTGGAAAACGACGCACACTGGCAGCAGCAGCCTCATGAACACAGTGCCACACGCTAGTGATTCCACTATGCCATAAGTTCTGGTCACTGTGGTATAATGCTTCGCTCGCTCTGCTGTTACGGCTTACTTGAGTGCTGCAAATGGTTTTGTGGGAATGTCTGTTCATTCCGTCATAAAGAAGCAAATGCCGCGTAGCTACTGCTGACAGCAACCAGACGGTATCTGTTGCTTTTGTGATGGTGTTCACTATCACAAAAATACTGATAGTGCGCTGAGCCTTTGCTGGTGGCACACGGTCGTTTGTCATGGCTGTGTTGAGTGGAATTTAGGTGACCCTTATATCGAGATTGTACTGGTGATAAATATTAGATGTATGCGGACTGTTTCCAGCTTGTCCTCATATGTGTCTCATCTAACTCTGGCCATGCTAGTTTTTAAAAGTGCAACAACATATGATGATGCGACTAATGGAATTTTGTAAGCTATAGCTTTCCATGTGTGGTTGTGTTTTTGGCACTTAGTTATTTATAAATAATTTGTTGAGTTAATAATTACTTACATAATTTGAGAAATCTAGACGTCGAATTCTGCATCCCACTTCAAAGCGGCAGCAGCTCGTGCTTGCATCGCATCTTTCTTTACCTTTTACACCACAAATTCTAAATGTAGAAAAGTGTAATTGGAAAGGGTGTAGATGGCATGTAATCAGACACCTAAATTTGTTAAAATCTGAAGTAATTTCGAAGTAAAGTATATATCATGAAATCTACCAGTATATGTGAAGCTATGATGAACAAAACTTCATTGGTCGCCTCATTATATCTTGCTGTGCTTTTCTTTTTAGCTTGGCTCGAGTTAACTTTGGCACACTGTGTAAAAAAAAGATGGCGCGCACACTTTCATTAAGACGGCCATAGTGGCTCAATATTCAAGCTTGAGTATCTTGTTGGGACCTTTGTTCGCAGACATTGAAATGAGACAACATGCCATGTGTACCAGCACAATCGCAAGGGCTGCAAACGGGCTTTGCTGTCAAAATAATATGTATGTGCCAGTACTCACCGATAAAATCCTTATTTTTTCATCGGAATGTCAACCACAAAGAGGAAGTTGACTTTAGCTGGCATGGTGTGGCGAACATTTGGATTCCCCATGTTAACAAACTATTCAGTGCTTGCACTGAAGTTGGTGCTTGTGACCAGCTTGGATCAGTGAACAGTTTTTGAGGTATTTTTCGTTTCCATAAGTTCATACAAGGCAATTGGAATTGTATTGAACAAAAGTACAAATTCTATAAGAATACTTGCTTAGATATTATTCCATTCACTTCAGCAACAGCAGCGGGGCTCCTTTTGAGAGGGTGCACTAACAGCTACTCTAGTCATGACCGCTTAGTTTGTCATGGCTAAATTGGTGCTGCGCTTTTAGCGCTGCACGTAAATGGTTCTTTGGCCGTGCAATGCAGGGTGTATTGATGGGCTGCATTTATTCATACCAGCTATTATTCAGTGCCGTGTATGTATTTTGTCTCCAAAGAATGTACTGAATGTTATATAGCATGTCTTCGCATTAGTTCCCGATTGTAGTGGGCTTCCTTTCTTTTAAATGCAGGAACTCATTTGATTGTAAAGACAGCTCATTCTACAGCAATACCTTGTCCTGTTTGGCAGGCCGGGGAAGAGGAAAATGTGTATGGAAAACAAGTCCTATTATCCAGAAAAACATGCTCGTGTGTAGTGTACCCTATGATATCTTTGTTGTTTCTTGTAGTAGTTGTTTCTCTGCAAGAGTTCAAGTTTGTAAGAAGTGTTGCTGCATTGACACCAAAGCTTATTTTCTGTGCGTTATCTTTATGGTAGTTTAGTCTGCCAATATGGCATTTCTGTGAGACATTTCCACTCAACCTTAGTGAGGCAAGTTCATTGAAACATAATTCCTCTCGTGAGTCGCCTTGAGCATTAACTTGCTTCTGTTCTCATTTTGTGTGTGCCATTTAAACTTCACAACCTGCCTTTCTTTTTCATTCTTTTTCTTTTGTTACATTTGATTCATCAATCGCCGTGTCATTGGGTTGTTTTTGTACAGAAGTTGATATGCTTTGTGTAATGCGTGTGCTGTTGTTTGTCTCGTGAAATACGGGGTGGTCATAAATATATCAAAGTGAAAAAATAAACTGTGTAATGCTTATTGTTTATAATGTAAACGAAAACACACGCCACCTTGAATCAGGTAATTACAAAGAATTTCGAATACCCACACCGGGCAATGAAGAAAATCAACAGTGAACGTCGAGTGTGCAAGCAAGGACATCTGAGAGCCCTCTTGTGCCTTGGAATTGTGGCTGACTGACTGTGATGCATGCAAGAAAAGTTGCACTTAGAGAAAAATTTTTGGAATAATATTGTCATGTGTTCGGTATTTGAACGAAGCAGCACCTCGACCAGATGTCATGGGGTCGTGACATGAACGAAGGGAGGGCACTTGATATTCAGACGAAAACTGTTTATTCGGCCGAACTTGTGGCCCTTAACCTGAAGGCTAGATCAATGTTACTAGAACAACGTTGAGTCAGATTATAGCGATGCCCACTGGCACTGCTAGCGGCGAACAGAATGTTGGTCCTCGATCAACTGCCAAACGGTGAAGCGCGTCGGCATTTATTCACGTGGCATCGAACATTCTAGCGTTATCGCTAGCGGCTGCGTAGGTTCCAGAATAATCTGTAATGTCCGCGAAGTGGGTGTAATCTTAACAAAAGGATCTACTATAATTGTGAACATTCTAGAACCATCAGGTGCAGTTTGCACTTAGCATTTCAGATGGGCTTCATGGTTGAAAACCGAATGAAACATAAGTGTAAACAAAAAACACGCATGGTGTAGTGACGTGCCCGGGTAGCGCGGACGCCGCTAGCCGAGCCAAAAGTGGGCGTGAAGCGCGTGAAGAATGACCCGACAACGCGTAGTTCACAAACAGCAAAAAGCCCCGTTTAATGCCCGCCGATGCCTTTTATACAGAGTGGGGGCGCCACCTCCCAGTTACTAGAAGCAACAGGTGGCGTCCTCTACATCCCTCCTTCCGGAGCTCTCAAACACAAGTGTTCCAAAAAAGCACCACCAAGAAACAGTCCTTGCAGCAGTCTCACAAATTCAGTCTCTGAGGTGGCACCACGCGCCAGCCGTATCGCGTGTAACGGTGACCTGGCGATCCCGCAGCAGGTGCAGGAGCTGGAGTGTTCGATGCATTACCGGTTGCTGCCCGCTGTGGTCCAGGAGACGGCGCCAATGTCGGAGCCGCAGGGTTGGGGATTCCCGTCTCATCTGAGGGGGCGGACTGAGGATTGCTGCAGGGGACAAGGTGTCTGCGGTTTCTCACTAGTATGCCACTGGGCGTCTGGACGATGTACGAGCGGGGTCTCTGAGCCGGGCTTAGGACTGTCGCCCGTGCCCGCGTGTCACGCACCCAGACTTCCTCCCCATCGTCGAGAGCACGAAGGTCATGCGCTGCGTGTCGGTTATTGTAGTCTCTCTGTTATCTAAGTCTCTAGGCGGCATTTCTGTCATTGAATTCCTTCACCTGGGGCCAATCTGGAACAAGGCTGTGAGCCGTGGCTGGCACACGAGTTCGCAGAGAGCGTCCCATGAGCAGTTGGGCTGGGCTGTAGCCAGACACACCGGGAGTGTTACGGTATGCTAGCAGAGCCAGAAACGGGTCTGTGGCCTTCAGAAACAACTCCTTGATCCTGCGAACCATGCGCTCTGCTTCGCCGTTCGACTGCGGGTAGCGTGGACTGCTCGTGACAGACGTGAAACCGTATGTCTTCCCAAAGTCTCAAAAGCTTTGCAGGGAAACTGTGGCCCATTGTCGCTGACAACAGTCACCGGGATGCCGTGTCGGGCAAATGTGCTCTTGATCGCAGAAATAACGGCTCCCGCAGAAGTGGACCGGAGTGTGAGGACCTCAGGGTACCGAGAACGGTAGTCGACAACCACCAGGAACTCTTGATTAGCAAAATGGAACAAGTCAATGGCCACCCTTTCCCACGGAGCCGATGGTGTCTCGGTCGCAATCATGGGCTCACAGCATTGAACGCGTATAGAAGCACATGCTGGGCAGTTTTCTACGGCTGCTTTAACCTGGCTGTTGAGACCGGGCCACCACACAGAGCCTCGGGCCACCGTCAAGCACCGATTGACGCCTTGATGACCATCGTGCAGCAGGTTCACGATGTCTCTGTGTAGTGCTGCTGGCACAACTAGGCGTCCGCCCATGAACAGCATGTTCTCGCATACAGTGAAGTCTCCCCGGTGGTCCCAGTAACGCGTCATGTTGAGCAGCAGACGTCTCGTCGAGGCCACCCTTTCATGCAGTATGCTTTCAGCATTGAGCACTCGCCGTCTGAAGTTAGGTGAGACCTGAAGTCTTCAAGACGTACGGCCAGGGTGGAAGGAAGGGCTGCCACGACCAGAGACACAAAAATTTCTGTGCTGTCCTCTTCGGACGTGGAAGAGCCTTCAGGATCCCTAGAGAGGGTGTCTGCCGTGGCCAGGTACTTTCCTGGAACATACTTGACTGTGAACTGATATCGCATGAGCCTTATGCGAAATCTTTGGATGCGAGGGGGCATGAGGTCCAGATAGGCGGAACCAAGCAACCTGACGAGCGGCTGATGGTCGGTTTCAACGACAAAGCTGAGTCCACGCAGGAATTCCTCAAACCTCTCGATAGCCCAAGAGACACCAAGCGCTTCTTTCTCAATCTGACTGTACTGCTGCTCAGCGGTAGTCAGTGCTCCTGACGCGAACACGACAGCCCGTCGCTCTCCCGTCTGTTGCTCCTGCAAGAGAACCGCGCCTAGCCCAAATGGACTGGCATCTGCCGACACAAGAGTGGGTAGCCCTGGAGTGTAGCTGGCCATACAAGCATTAGATGCCACCATTCCCTTCAATGTCTCGAAAGAGGTTGCTTGCGCATGGTCCCAGGTCCAGACCGCGTTCTTGTTCAACAGGACCCGTATCTGTGTAGTGACGGCAGACAGGTTCGGTAAAAATCTTCCAATGTGGTTCAGCATGCCCAGGAAACGACGGACGCCATGGGTATCTGTCGGCGGCTTCATGTTCACAATAGCAGATATCTTGTCAGGGTCAGCCGAGATGCCACTGGCACTCACCACTACACCAAGGAACTTGACGGAAGATACCCCGAAGGAGCATTTCGAGGCATTCAACGTAATGCCTGCTTGTTCTAACTTGCGAAGGACTGCTTGGAGTCTGCTGTCGTGCTCGGAACGGCTCCTGCCGAATACTAGAATGTCATCTACCACGTTCACGCACCCTTCCAGGCCCTCTAGAATCCGAGACATTCGGCGCTGAAATACTTCGGGAGCGGACGTGATGCCGAAGGGCGGGCGGCGGTAGCAGTAGCGTCCAAACGGTGTTATGAAGGTAGTCAGCTCCTGACAGCTTTCCAATAGCCTTACTTGATGAAACCCCGATTTCGCATCAAGTTTCGAGAAGACCGCAGCATTGCCAAGACGGCCAAATACCTGGTCCACTGTGGGCATAAGGTGTCTCTCCTGAAGAACTACTTGGTTCAACTTCGTGTGGTCAACACAAATTCTGTATTCGCCATCGGCTTTGGGTACCAGCACAATACCAGGACACCACGGGGTTGGCACTGTGGCGCCGGATGACTCCGTCCCTTTCGATGGCATCTAAGTCCTTCTTGACTACGCCTTCGAGGGGAATAGGGATGCGCCTAGGAACGCTGAGAGAAAATGGAATCGCTCCCGGCTTGATACGAATGTGGTATTCTTCAGGCATCTCGCCAAGGCCTGAGAACAGCGAAGCTGCGGCCTTGTCTGACGTTGGGGGCCTATTCGGAGCTTCCGCATCTTTCACGGTGTCAACAAACTGGAAGACTCCCAGGTCCACTACCGCCGAGTACCCCAGCAGAGGAGAGTCGATTTCTGCTACAACGTACAACGTTTTGCATACCGACCGGCCTCGCCACGACAGGGTAGCAGGAAACGTCCCAAGCAACCTTAGGGGGCAGCGGCCCGGCCCCATCAACCGTTCATTATCGGGTTTGTCAAGGTCTACTAGGCACCCGGCGAAGCTCGGAGGTACGACCGAAACGTCCGCCCCAGTATCCACTTTGAATTGAAGGTGGCGTCCGTTGACATGAACAACAAAGTGCCGGCCTTCTGTTTGCGAGGCATCCACGGCGCAGAGCTGGATTTGGCTTAAATGCCTAGTATTATTCGAGCGGCAAACCGCCGCGAAGTGTCCCTTCTTGCGACATTGGTTGCATGTGGCCCACCGTGCTGGGCACTCAGATCGCAGATAAGGGGCGTGGCCGCAAAAATCGCATGCCGACTTCGGGCCGGCGCGGTACTCGGGAGGCCGACAGACGTTACTTTTACTTCGGGCAGCTTCGCATGCTGGGGCGTCGGCCATTCGGTACTGGTTGTTCGCAACGGCGTCGACGTTCAGTGGGTCTGGTTTAAGGCCTGTCCCCTGACGCCGCAATTTCTCATTTTCAGCGTCTTCGTACTGATGCGCTTGGATGAGCGCCTCGTTCAGTGTAAGCTTTGGATTGTGGCAGAGCTGGTCAAGCGAGAGTCAAGCAAACCTACGATAAATCTGTCCCGAACCAGCCGGTCGTCGATTTCCCGAGAGGCGTAGTTGCACTTCTTCACGAGATTTCGGAGCGCCGTGAAAAACGCGTCGACTGACTCGCCTACCGCTTGCGTGCGCTTGTGGAACCTGCTCGACTCGTATACCTCGTTGACTGGGTGGACAAAATATCCCGAAAGACTTGTTGTCCTGCCGGAGTATGAGCGATAGGCCTCGGCGTCTGACATGAGAGACGAAAGCACCTCGCGATCTTGGGGACCCATACAGTATAGAGGAGCGTGCGTACCTTGGTTTCTTCGGGGGTGGAGGACAGTCCTGAGGCGAAGGAGTAATCCTCGAATTGTTGAAGCCACGCCGTCCATTGGGCTGGGTTGTCAAAAGTGAACTGCGGCGGAGTTCGCAATGTGAAGCTGGCGGTCACGACAGAGGCGGCGGCTGGGTTATTCTGCATGTTGCGCGGTTGTCGCAGAATCCCACTTCTGACACCATGTAGTGACGTGCCCGGGTAGCGCGGACGCCGCTAGCCGAGCCAAAAGTGGGCGTGAAGCCCGCGAAGAATGACCCGACAACGTGTAGTTCACAAACAGCAAAAAGCCCCGTTTAAAGCCCACTGATGCCTTTTATACAGAGTGGGGGCGCAACCTCCCAGTTACTAGAAGCAACAGGTGGCGTCCTCTACACATGGCAATATGAGTCATGCACGTACTGCCTCCAAATATATAGAATCAGACAAAATATGGAATTAAATAATTTTGGTAATAGTAAAGTGAACAGTTTTAAGCATAGCAAAAGCATAATAGCGATTGTCTTTATGAAGAAGCTTCCATAGCGACCCTCCCCACTACAGCCTTTATCTACAGCATAACAGTCTGCCATATACTGAGTTATTGATTTTACTTTTTTAATGTTTTAATAAATATCTTCACTCCTGGAATGTCAAACTCACCTGTTAATTCATGTGTAATTACAATAGATACTTCATGGACCAACTTATCTACAGTATATGGATTTTGTTCGTGTAGATTGGGCATGACAGTGCCGGGACTATTGCTCTACATGTGCTCAGTCATGTATGAGCCGGGGTAGAGGATGGGGGCCAGAAAAGCCGCCTCATTGTATTTCACTGAACCATACGCAACTCATAAACAGCAACTGAACCTGAGAATAACATGGTCAAAATGTTTAGCAATCCTTTGAGAATAATTATGACTGAATGCCGTCGTATATTTACCGTAATTGAAAGATTCGAGATCAAGATGCACTCAGCTGCAAGCTGGTGTGCTGCTAGTGGAGTAACACGAATATATATATGGTCTATCTTCGCAGCCTTCAACCTACTGCCAAATCAAGCTGTCCCCGACACTCTTCGACAGATTTATGTCAGGCACCCTGCATTTTGGGAGGTGAAGCTTGTATCTAATATATGTAGCTTGTATCTAACCTTCCTCTTCTTCCGGCATGTGAGGGTTGTCTCATCGAAAAAGACCCTTCATGTCCTCAACATACATTGCTACACCTTCGTTTGGCATTTGCATACGGCTCTGGAGTTTATGCTCAGTTTGCTCGTTGTGATATGGACTAGCATACATTTTGAGAAACCGGTGTTTGAAGTCTTCCCATGACGTGAACACACCTGCCCAGTTTTCGTACCAAACACGTGCCCCGTCATTCAAACTGAAGTATACATGTACGAGTTGGTCTGCGTCATCCCACATGTTATGAGCGGCAACGAAGTCATAGTAGACTAGCCAATCCTCATAGGCAGCACCATGAAAGGGATTCAGCGTTCACGGTTTGAGCAGCGTATAGTGCATGGGCGTTGCGCCTTCCATACCGGCTGGGTTGAAACCGCTTGGGACGGCGCCTGGGATAGTTGGAGCCGTCATCTTCTCTGGGAAAAGTACGAACTCGGGGTCCAGTCCACGGATCCCTCAGCTGGCACGGTGAACAGGCGTAATCATTGATATGGGGCTGAAGCTTCTTGTACTGGGAGGGGTTCGGTGCATAAGGTACACAGCACTTCCACCAGTTCTGACGTGCTAGGCGCTAGAAAAAAATTGGTAGACTCCATGTACGGTGCGAATCGATGATATGCGAAACGCAATTGAAGAAGATTGAAGTGTCACATCAAAATCAGCGCAAGGTCATGAGGCCGACGTAAATCATGACGTGCATGACCTCCATGTTTTGACTATCATGTTTGCGCCTGGCATTCGTGCTCGTTGTCCATTCACGTCACTTAATACTAAATTTGGTTGTGAAGCTAGCAAAACGGCCGCGAGCGCGTATGAGCGTACCATGTAGTCATGTTTTACGGGACACGCATGTAATGACTATCATGTTTGGACAAGTAATTTATCTTCGTCTATTCACGTCACGTAATACCGAATTTGGTATATGGGAAGCTAGCGAAATGGCCTTGAGCGCATCATCAGTGTAGTATGTAGTCATGTTCTTACATGACATGCCTATCATGATTATCATGTTTGCCCTAGTCGTATACCTTCATCCACTCGGGTCACTTAACGCCAAATTTGGTATATGTGAAGCTAGCAAAAAGACCGTGAGCGCACGATGACCGTAGCGTGTAGTCATATTTGACATGACATTCACGTCATGATTGCCATGTTTGGACGCGTCATTTATCTTTGTCGTCCATTCGCACGCCGTAATACCAATTTCGGTACACG